CATGAGAACATGAACTTTCCAAATGGACACAACATCACAGACAAACACAGAGAATCATTTGTGGATTTCACTTCTAAGATTACACACTTAAATATCATGTCAAATATCACAGCAAAGTGAGTGAAATGCTCGCACTATCATATGAACTACACAGTTGGCTTTTATTAAATAAGTCCCTTATAAATCCATGTGTACCTAACTCGTAGAGTTCTGCCCCAGCCCCCTGAAACCCTGAATGGATTTATTGGAAGATAATGGGTGGATGGTTGGTTGGGTTTAAAGATAGTATTCCCTCTAGAAAACTTCAGACCAGCATTTTTGGTTAAGCACAGTCTTTCAGATTAAAGACAGAGTTACAGTGACCCTGCAGCTGCTTGATTATTAACTGCTGTCCTGTAAAATAGCACTGATATGGAACCTCTGTGAGTGTGTGGGAAACAGAGCAGCCTTTCCTGTTCTTTGAGAGAAAACACTCAAGAGAAAAATGGCCGGAAACCTCCAGGGCCTTTTGATTCACTCTGAGAAATCAAGTCAAGCTACCTGAGAGCTTGGAGACCTCGTAGTGTCTGAAATGAGCCAGTAGATGAACATATTTCATCAATTAAAATATTTCTAACATTTTGAGTTATTTTCCAGTGTTAGAAAATCAGCACTGCTCAGTGTTAGCCATTGTTGATCTTCAAAACTGACTAGGTTACTTTTAAACATATAACACTGTCAAAAGTGTTAATTTAACACTGGAGATTTTGCTGTGTGGGTGAACTTTGTTTTTGTTTTCTTGTTTGTTTGTTTTGCTTTCCAGTGTTACGATGCAGTGACCAGATGCCAAACCTGCTACAAAATGTTCCAACCAAAAAATTCCGATGACTCAGCTGTTGTTTATGTAGTATTTGTCTGTAAGAGTACACCCTATAATTAATTTGTTCCTTCAAAACCAATTCTGTTCTTTGTTGTCAATGCCAAGTACCACTCTCCACCGATACTTTTTTTGGTGTGATGTGTGTCAGGGACAGTACATTCTGGGTGTGACTGACTGAAGCTGCCCCGAGCATCTGCCAGTTCATAAAGACTGTTTTATTTGGAGTAAGAGCTCGATCGAGCCACATTAGAGCACTGATAATTTACGACTGCCTCCAGCAGCTCTCATTATAGTTACAACAATAAAGATAGGACATTCAATAACTGCTCCCTGCCACAGTCTTTGCCAAAGAGTAGAGGAAATATGAAAAGTTGTATTCACGGTGTCACTCAGAACAGAGTGCAAACATCTGTGACATTTCTTTCTTTTTCATTTCCTCAGTAATTACTCAAGAGCAGCTGTGCTGTGTGTGTTCATTGCTCGTTATTAGGATGGCAAATAGACTGGCCCTGCTGCCACTGGCATCCCGATTCATGATTATACATCACACAAAGCAGCGTAGAGTAATTTTAACAGTTATTGTGGTGTTTTGGATTTAAAGTCAGATTGCGTACATTTAGAAACTCTCACCTCAGTGCACGACACGCCTCGGCCAGACCAGTGACACCGCGGTGAGTTTGGGTGTAAATGAGATTAGGGAAATGAAATTAAGTGGTGCAAAAGTGACGTTCCTCAGGGATCGAGGCAGCAGGTCCCCGTTCCTGCTCTGTGCAGATTGAATTAAGAGATCCAGCCCACATGAGTCATGTTCTGCTTTGACGAGAAGAAACACTTTTCATGCAAACTGCTAGTGATAATGAATGAGTTGTGTTGATTGCCGCACAATGATGGATGAATACCAACTGTGATCTTTCTCTTCTGCCACATGTAACCAGATCAGACGCAGCTCAGGCCCAAACCAGAAGTCAGATTTACCCTTTTGATCTGAGTAACCTGAAAGCTTTATATTTCGTATAATGCACTTACTACGTGAAGTACGAGCTTCTGCGTCTATTAGACGATTGAAGCATTATTTGTGTCTTATTAATAGATGGTCTTCCTGTTTCGATGAAGTTGCCTTCCCAATCAAAAAAACACTTAGGTCCTCTCATAGAGGGGTGAGGTGACCCTCAGGAGACAGAGCTGACCATCCAGTGTAAGAGGGCAAGGGCTCTAAAGTGGATGGACTCCATTAGCGGCCTAATCACTTTCTCTTTAACATATTTCCAAGATGACCATCAGCCATTGACTGACCAAACCAAGGTCAAGAGTTCAGATTGAGTACACATTAGCATGCAGGTGGAGGCTCCAGACACAAGGAACAGTGTTTTTTAGGGACGTGACAACTGTTCTGTGTAGTGGTGGATAGAACAGCTTGAACATGCTGAGCACATGACCTCAGTCTCTTTGTGTTATTGGCAATGTTCTTTACAACTAGGACTCTTTTTTAACAACATAATTTCCTAAAATTGTGGTTCACAATGCACATGGAGCACAAAATATGCACTTTACTTTTTAATTTACTTATTAAAAGAAAAAGCTTCATAGAACCAATTCTGTGGGCTTAAATAGCAATGCAATTAAGAGTAAAAAAAGAATGCAAACTGTCAGACATATGGAGATGTTTGCACATATGTTGGTGAAGAATTACCTCCTAAGAATATTGATCCTAGGTCTCACATTTCCTCTGCACTTTGCCAAACACTGGTATGGTAAAGAGGTTTTATTGACTGACTTATCTTTATTGTTATAGCCACAGTAAGCGGTAAATCATGCAGTCATCTGCTTTGAATGCTATCAGTCCATTAAATGTTATCTGTTACCAGTCATCGTAGCTCCCATAATTATACTTTAGATTGAGCACACAGCGTGTGATTGCCGATGATTCGTGTGACTCAGGCTGTCTTGAGTTTGTGTAATTAAATGCATGGAAAAACTGATCAGGTGGTGTACAGCCCAGCGTTAGACCAAAGCCTGTAATAGACCTCAGATCCATGTCAGTGTCATTTTTTCCTTAGCTTAACTGTGAAAACAACCCTCCTACAACAAACTACAATAACTACTTTTCCCAAGTAGTTTTGATGCTTAAACCTAACCAAGCACAAAAATGAATAAAAACTCAAGAATGAAAGAACTTCATGATAAAGGCCTGCTGTGCCAGCTGGAGAAGGATGCACCCAACAGGTATTGGTGTCTTCAAATCCCAACATGGCAAGAAGTAGAGGTGCAGCCTTACTTATACGTTGAAGAATAGACTGGAAGAAGAATAAAATCTCATCAAAAAAAGAAGAAACTGAATGCTGTGCAAGCAGAAACTCTCGATTCATTTAGCGTCTCTTTCTTTAGTAAACTCATGAATAGTAAAAATTAAAAGCATGTTGGGCGTGGACTGAAGGGAAACGAGTACTCATATTTTCTGAGTCATCACGGTCGTCTGACATTTTTGTCATGAACAGCTTGTACCAGGACTGCACAGTACCAGGTTTCTGTGTACCACATGTGACCACATGGGGTGTAGAAAACCACTAACAAACACATGACTCTGTCTTGTTTATCTGGATAATCTCATTAGTTTTAATGAAAACGCCACGTCTCAGACAACACTGATAGCTCGCTTCACTTTACTGTTTTTCCGCAAACAGTATCTTATTGGGTCACTGTATGGTCAACCCCGGCTTATCATTTGGGTGATGCTCTTTCAGGTACTATCGTTGTACCTTGGACAGTGGTTTGTACCTAACAGAGACCAGCGCTGAATCTCGAGGAACACTTTTGCTCTTTAATGTAATGCTGGAAAAATTAAGCATAGTAACAACAATAGAAAGTGCATGCTGGGCGCAGGGGTAATCACTTAGAAACAGAAACAAAGAAACCAAAGAATCAGACCAAGCTCGGTGAGAATAAATGGCACACAAAGATTTGGACCCAGAACTTCATCCCGTGTGACCGTAATAAGACAGATACAGAATCAGATATGTCAGAATACACTAAATATGTTCATTTATAAGTTGAAGACTTATTCATTATTATTATTTGTACTTAATCTCCTTTTCTGTACGACTAAATTCTGACTAGCAGCTGACATGACACCTTAAAAGTCTTGAACAAACTGTGAAAATATGCAGCCTTTACTGCTTTGTTATGTACCTTTTTTGGCACTTGGAAAACATAATTTACGGTTCAGTAATTCGTCCGAGGGAGAGCTTGCACTTGTATTGACAGAAATGTACTTTCACTGAAACCTTTATCTCTGAGAACAGAGTTATGTAATGAGTTCTACAGATTTCTCTACCTGAGAGGATATTCTGTCTGTTTTACATGTTTTGTGCATGTGAGATCTTTTTGCTCTGCTGTTTTCATGGCTCTAAACCTTTGACCTAGTTTGGGACTGAGTTCTAGGAAAGCAGAGCAGTGCGACAGAACTGTGGCTTGTTTATCCATGGAAGGAGCCCAGACAGGGAAAGAAACCCTATCTGCACCCCACCTGCCCGCAGAGCCCCTAACGCTCCCTCTATACTGTAAGGACTGTGGGTCCTCTATAATAGCTTATGTGCACTCTGGTAAACAGATTATTCCCAACGCCAACACCACTGAACATTGCACCATGTTTATCAGTATTTTGCTATTTTTCACCGTCAGTTTTCTTTACGACGGTTAAAAGACTTTATGAGGTTTTACAAAATGAGATGCGAATGCATTTTGTGTGTTTGAGGAATGCCTTGAATTAAAAAATGACCCTTTAAAGCTGGACCAACCACTGTGCTTGGAACAATTTAAGAGGCATAAAACTGGGAGCAGCAAGGAAAATAGTTTGAAAGCATTCTATAAGTCACAAGAATCTGCATAGAGAGGCTTTGAAGTTTCTTACATCCAATTTAATATAAATTCACAAAAGAGTGTCTTAAAGATTCTTGGCCCATGCTTTTAACAGCTCTCTGAGGAAAACTAAGCACTTTCATAATGCCAGAGGCGGCTTTCTTTGGCGATATGATGTGGGAATATGAATCAGGAGGGTCTGTATGCACGGACAAAATATAAGAGATGTATATGAGACTAGATAAACAGGGAAGGAAATCCCGAACACAATTTTCTCATACAGATTTGTATGTTTTTATTCAAAAACTTTATTTTAAAAAATGTGCATTAACATTTCATAATATTAACAAGGTTACAATATCATAACATATCGTAAAAATGTCAGACCTTCTCTGTGGATAGTGTGGAATCTTAAAAACATGACGTGCTGATTTTTGTGTGCAATATGAAATACAATGAGAGTCGCCTACATATTAAAGTGAACAGTTGAAAAATGAGATGAGATGAGAATGTCACAGATTTCCGAGTGACATGAGATAGTTTTCTCCCTTTTAGTTGAAACCAAATAAAGTATTTCCTTTTTAAGCACCATTTACCCTTGAAATATTTACCAAGACTTCATTTGTTTTTCCACTAAAATGAAAATTATTTTCATAAAAAGCGGAGTTTACTCTTTATATAACTTCCAGCAGCAGTGATTTCCTGTCGTTGGATCTGAGCTCTCTGCAGTTGCTGAAAATGTTCAAAACAGCTGTCTCGATAGAGAAAAGGTGCTCATCCTCCACCTCCGGACAGTGGTGCCTCATAAATTCTGCAAGGCGGACCAGGTACTCAATGTTGTGGCCGGTGTTGCCTCTGCAGATGGCAATCTGGGCGGCAATCTCCCCGTCCGAGGCCGGCCCGAGGTAGATGGGGTTGTCAGGTGTGGCGATGTAAACAAGGGACAACACTGAACCGTGACCGTCTTTAGGAATGAATTCCACCATCTCTGTTATGTACCCGCCCTGGACAACCTCTCTCATGTTTAAATACTGAAGAGACGCTTCGACCTGGCACTCAGTCACTTCATAGGCCACGCCCCACGTGCAAGCCTGCAGAGTACAAACAGGTGGAGGTTGACACACTTGCAACACTTGCAAGACTTGGCTTTGTGAACATATACAGAGAGAAAAACCTAAAAATAAAACTACAGTGTTTTGGATTGTCAAACAACATTGATTGAGCCTATAGGATGCTATTTAAAGTCCAGTTTTTACTTGACCCAGTGCCAGAATTTAATAGAAATTAGAACATTAAACAGTAGAACAAACAGTAGACAACCAGTAAATAATGGGTTTAACATTTTCCCTGTTTATCATGCCACAGTTACAGTTTATTGCAACACATTACACAAAAACTCATAATCAGAAAGGTGGAAAGTTTAAAATAGCAAAGTTGTTCTTTTAGTGTGACTGGCCGGTTAGCTAATTATTTTCTGAGCAGAGTTATTACTTGTTATTTGCTTTTATTTGTCACTTGTATTGCAATACATCTGAGAAGACCAGTGACTCACAGTCAGACATTCCAGTCTGAGTAAACAACACAGCCTCATCGGGCTTGTTGTGCTGACATTTAAAAAAAAAAGAAGAAGAAGATATTTTTAAGATCTTTTAGTTTTAGTTTTGCTTTTTAAGGATTATAGAACTTCTGAATCCACTGCTTTACTTACACATTCAATATTTAAGTGGTTCACTCACCTCCTCATCTGCTATTAGTGTGACAACTCTGGCTGGCTGTAGAGAGCAAAAACACCGACAGTGAGAACTCAACAACCAACAAGAAAATGCTTCATACTTCACAACAACATACTGTGGCCTACATCTAAAAATGCACGAGCGAACTCCTAAAGGATCAGAATCAGCAGGAAATACTTGTGTTCCAGGTGTGGCTGCAAATCTCACCTTTTCCTTGTCCCCTCGATGAAAGTCATCTCCGTGCCAGAACCGTCTCTTGTATCCTCTAATGTACCCTATTTTTCTTCTCTTGTGTTCAAAATCGGGTTTCCACACTAGGGAGCCATAGCCAAATATCCACAGGCTGCTCTTTTCCTTTGTAATGTCCTGAGGTTTCATTGTAGGCACTTAACTTCGTTTGGGAAGAGAAAAAACAAAAGTCCACAAGTAGCTGCTCGATGTTATTTCCAGTCTTCTACGACCTCATAGAGTCTCATACATCAGGCTGCTCCTATATATAGATATATAGATAAATAAAGCGCTGAAAGGAGGAACCATCTTTCACGTCACAATGATCATTACATCAGTAATTAGTCAGTGTCATCAAAAGGCAAATACTGTCCATTCCTCCTTAGTATACCGACGTGCACACACGTGTATTTGTTGATCAAAGTACGTCAGAGAGACACGACCTTGGCCAATTAAATAGAAGGGGCGGGGCTCTTTTGTAGCGACGCCTCGCCTAAGTTTTGAGTCGTTGCGCATGAGAACACGCAAGCACCCGGGGCAGGGAAATAAGAAGAATAAGCAGATATATTTTAAAGAAAAGAAGAAAGAAACTGTCTTTGTTTCTAACGTTTTAATCTTTATGAGCACTTTCAATATACAGCATAGGGTCAAACTCATAGTGCAGAGGTAATCACATTACCTATAAATAGCCGGGACTGTTATATCTGTGCTCTCTTAAGCTCATTAGGTGTCTGTGTTCTCTATACACGAGCTTAACACCGCAGTGGCTGATAACTGAGATCAGTTTGTCCTCTGTAAGTCGGTGAGGATGATATTTGATGGGTTAAGAAAGGAGAGAACTACTTTCTTGTTACTTCACATAAAACCTACTGCCACCAGGTGGTTGTGAAAGACATGGCTCTTTACTTGAGAGAAACATCAGCCTGGTGCTTTGATATTGGCTGAAGGCTGGGTTAAGTAAGTAAAGTGTTAGATCTCCAAAGAGAGGGTGCAATTGTTATTAGTCCCTGTGTGCATCATGGAGCCTTGGCTGCGGGGCCCTTTGTTTGCTGTGATCATGTGCCAATAGTTCGAGGACATATAGATTTTCTCCGCGCACTAGTTTTGCTGTGTTTCTCACACCTTTCACCTTTCAGTCAACTACAAGAATCAATTATCAAGAGATGCAGCAGTTCCAAGATCCATTTAAGCAGAAAAGACAACAAGGACTCTTTATTATGACATACAGACTTTTAAATATATATATATATATATATATATA